AGATCATTCATGAACATAAATTGAGGTCTTGCACTTCAAAGAAAACCAATATATTTTATTTTATGTAGACAAAACATTTAACTTGCTGAAGATGGTGAAAATAAAGTGTGTGGTAAAGTTCTGTACAAATATTTAACAAACAATAGGGAGTTTACTGATGCTTTTCTGGTTAGTTCTAAATCATTCTTTTTTGTTTTGGCACAAACTCTCTACCATTAGAATTTTGTTAACAGCTTTTTGACAAATGTTATAAAATATGATCCTTCTATATGAAGGATTTTGTTCCCCATTTAAGTTGTGTTCATAATTACTTAACACTTTTCATATATATTCTATAAACAGTTATTTTTAGGAAATAGCTTCTTCCCTCACATCTATGACATGTCCATTTACATTAGCTCTTTCAGAAACAACAATGCTATTTTCACAGATCTGGCTTCAAGGTTTGCAGGAAGACAGGAAAGCAACACACCACAAATTCTGCTTGTTTTGTCTACTCTGTGACCTTCCCTCCTTTACCCAATCCTGATGCCCATAACCAAATCTTAAGTCACTCACAGACTACATTTTCCTTCTTCTTAGCCATGGGATTGTATCCTCTCTGTCCTTGCCAATGCCCCATGGTGTGACTCACAGCAAGCCCCATGGGCTGACAATTGTTTCCTAGATTCTTTGAAGCTTGCCCACACACATGCCAGGAGGAACAGCACAGATAACCACACAAGCCCCACCTCCCTATAGCATTGTTTTCATTATCTTTTGCATATAGAAGATGACAGGAAGGTTCCCAAAATCATTTAGAATCCTGCTTTTCTATGAAGAGCCTCCATAGAGGAAAAAGACTTCCCTTAAGGCAAAAACTATGTTTTTGTGTAGCAGGGGAAACAGGCTGCTCCCTCCTCAGCTATGGTCCTATGTGGTGTAAAAATGCAGTCAGGATCTAGTCATTTGCCTTTACAAGATTGTTGAAAAACTTCCAGCACTGTACCTGATCTTGAAGTTTCTGAAACATTAGTGGGTGAGGTTCTTCCAATATTGACTCGTCCAAACGGGACTGCCCTTCAACATTGACTTGAGAAGAAGCTTTACTTGACAAGAATGTTGCGTAAATTTCATTTGCTTTTGCTTGCATCTGTGGAGGGAAATATACATTTACTAAGCAAGGGTTTTTTTCTTACTGTACACACCTACAGGCTGGGATCCTAAAGTGCTCTGGAAGATTCTGTTTAAGCAAAAGGCGGCTGGTTGTCATCAATACCATCCTTTCCTGCTGTTGGTAACCCACCCCTTCACATCACATATCATCTTGTTCTGGAAAGCCCCACCAGTCCTGAAAAACAATCATGGGAAGGTGCAGTTGAAGTGGGCTACAGAGGGAGAAAGGAAAGCCTCACTCCATGGACAAAAACTATGTTATGTAAGTGGAACAGATGCTAGGATCCAAGCATATCCATGAATCCAGAACGGTCTTTTTACACATCCTATCTTAACTGTACTTTTCAGTGGCTATCTCATTGACTACGAGAGAGATGCAGATGATGCACCCAGTAACAGTACAGCAACTACAACCTAACAGATACTCATCTATTTCCATCTTACCCAAAGCAAGCAAAAGTATAATTCTTCTACCTGATTTTTCCCAATTGCAGATAAGATGCTTCTAACAATATTCAGTTTACATGTCCTATATCTTCATTTTGTTAACTTTTGCTTCCATTTACCACCCACCCAACACCCTCATTTTTTTTTTACCTAGCACTGCTGAGAAACTTCTTTTTTCTTGTCTCTGATAGCTATACATATCAGAAAAAAACTTATTTATGTTTAGCTCACCTTAACTTTTTATCAGTCTTACAGTAAATATAGCTTCTTGGATTTCTCGGACTTTTGCTATACAATATCATAAAAATTAAAATAATTCTCAACTACCTTCATGTTTGATGTAAGCTGAATATAATAAAACCATTTAAAGTATAATACAGCAAAGTCCCACTGAATGAAGAAGACCTAAGTCTTATTCCATTCTTTTCAATTTCAATGCTCAATTTCACTTAGCAACAACTAATGTTTGCTGTACTATCCTGAGTAACTAAATTGGTCCATATTATATTAAATGAAGAAAAGGGGATACAACAATTTAAGCTTAACAGTATATTATGTATGAAATAGAAATGAAAAGTAAATTTACATTCTTAGATATGGACAGATCTTGTGACAACTTTATAGTGTTTCATTAGGCTGAACAAAGGTGGGAATCAAGTGTCCCTGAAAATACTGGGCTACAAGTCTATTAGCTAGCATAGCCAACAGTGAGGAATGCTGGGAGTTGCAGCATGAGAGCCAGCATAGCCTAGTGGTTTAAGTGTTAGTCTATGACCCCTGGAGACCAAAATTCAATTCCCAGCTTGCTATGTAAACCCAATGGATGACCTTGGGCAAGTCACATGGTCTCAGCCTCAGGGGAAGGCAATGGCAAACCTCTTCTGAACAAATCTTGCCAAGAAAACCCCATAATAGATTTGCCTTAGGGTTGCCATAAGTCAGAAATGACTTGAAGGCACACCACAACAAGCAACAAGTATTTGGAGAGCCACATGGTCCCCAAATTGGAGTTAGATACAGTACAATCTTAAAGACATAAGATCCCTGGCACCACTGAATACAATGGAACTTACTTCTGAGTAAACATGCAAAGGATTGTAGTGTAAGCACATCTGAAAAAAAGAATCAGCCAAACAGATACAGAGAAATTCATGCTAAATATAGCAACTTTTCCACTGCTTTTTAATAAAAAAATTATTTATTTTTAAAAACTGATACTTTTTGATAGAACAAACAGATCAGATTGAAAGGAGATCCTGATGAAAAGAGGCAAGGCAGATTACATAAGTCAGGCAATTCTTTTTATACTTATTGATAACAGTGGGAAAACCTCAGAAATGAGCAGCAAAAGAATGGCAGACTTAAGCCAGCTCTGGGAATACCTATACTGATGTTCTGAATTTCAGCACAATCTTTTGACAGCAATGAAAGCCAGTAGATACAAATGACATGTAACACTCTCACAGTATACATTCATGTAGGAAAAAGAGTAAGGTGTGATATGGCAGATCATATTTTTATAACCCTATATGGAAAATATGTGTGTCAAATGCTTCTTTGCAGAATTAATCATGTATTATAAGACAGAGGCTGAATCCTCACTGGGACAGGAGTATTATAGTCAAATTACATCTTGGTTAACTTTCACATCTCCTTTTGGTATATAGCCACTAGAATCATAGCCACTAGAATTGAGAACAAATCCCAAGCAATTTGCTCTCAACCTGAGCAAGCAGATTTGCTTCCATGTTATCTTCACACTTCATCAAACTATTTCTTTTAGCTAGCCTTATCATGTTTATTCTCAGTTTCTCTCTCAGACACAGATGTAAGCAGTATGACTGTAGTACCAGTTGTGCTCCCAAGCAATCCTTAGTAAAGGGTAATCTGTCCTTTACATTTGTATGTGTGTGTGTGTGTGTGCCTTCAAGCTGCCAGTCAACCTAGTGTGATCCCATGAATTTCATTGGGTTTTCTTAGGCAAGGAATGCTCAGAGGTCCTTTGTACATGTTCACAAGATGTGAACCAATATAAAAAATATATAAACAATGCAGGAACTATTTCTTGTAACTATATTGCAAGGAAAGTCCAGACAACAAATTGGTAGGGTAGCAAAAATTTGCCAACCAAAATGGATAAAATGCATCATGCAGGTTTCCAAAGCTCCACTGGCTTCTTCATCAGACAAAAGATGTTAAAAATTCACAGCTGTTGCTCTTTTATAGCAGGGGATCCAGATGCCTTTCCTTGAAACAATGTTTCCAAAGCAATGATATAACTTTTAAAATCACTTTTTTAAATCTTTGAAATATTTTTTAAAACAATAAACAATAACATAATGCAATTTGTGATTGTTAGGTCTTATTTCACTGTTTATAAGGGTTATGTGTGATGCTGTCTAGACACAACAGACTCTTTAGAATTCAATTCATAAGAAAGCTTTGGAGATAACAAACAAGGATTTATAGAAATGATGTATAGGAAACTTTGAGTTAACAGTCTTTCTGTAATCAGAAACAAAAAAAGTTGTGACTATCTCAGATTTACTATATTTGTGTAAAAAAAACAAAAAAACTATGTTGTATTGGACCAAGAAAAGGCATCTGGTTTTGATTGCTCTATTCACGCTTATCAGATGAGTTAATTTTCTGGCTAAACCAATGTATCATAATTTTTATTCCATATTTGCTGGCTAAGATTTGATGTACTTTGTCAAAACTTTTCTATTAGAAATCTTGCACCTACTAGAATGACACTGGGCAACAGCATAGAGACAACTCATTTATGTTGTCCCTTAAATAAGTTTAGTAGTACAACTTTTAGTTCCTTGATAAGATTTTATCCTGCAATCCTATTCATGTCTTCTAAAGTCTCATCCCAAGAAATGAACACTAACATACCTGCTACCACTATGGATACCACTATGGATATATAGTGGTGGGAATTTAACTCAGGAAAAATATAGGCCACCACAGATTATAGGCCCACTACTATCAATATTCTACCATTCAGGCTAGTACAATGCACCAGATGCACTAAGCAAAAAAACCAGAATGATATGTAGAACCAGTAATTCATCCACAGACTAAGAGCCGAAACAGACAGGCTCGAAATGCTGGCTTCCTGGCGGCTTGAGGGTGTGGTGTTTAGATGCCACATGCCCCAGCGCCATCCCAAAGCTGGCGTCATGCCACCCGCCCAACCACACGGGGGGCAGCTTTGCAGCACTCCAGTGGCATGGTGTTTAGACACTGCACACCGCAGGAACACCGGAAAGCTGCATCAGTGCCTGAAAAGCAGGGTTGGGGCGGTTGCCATGGCCCCAACCCAGCATTCAGAGGGGCAGCCTGGTCCTCCTCTCTAAGTCACATGTAACATATTACCAGGGAACTAGGGAGCCAGTATGGTATAGTGGTCTGAGCACTGGACTATGACTCTGGAGACTAGGGTTCAAATCCCAGCTCAGCCATGTAAATCCACTGGTCAACCTTGGGCAAGTCACACTCTCTCAGGTTCAGAGGATAGCAATGGCAAACCCCCTCTGAAGAAATTTGCCCAGAAAACCCATGCTAGGTTTGCTATGTTGGAAATGACTTGAAGGCACACAACAACAACAACAAAAGACTTTATTAAATGGATATTATTTTTTATTCTATCTTTTGAAAGAAAGGATAGAAAAAAAATACCCATTTGCTAAATGGTGTACACCATTGGTAGTGAAGTTTTCTTGCTACCCTAATACAGAGAGCCAGAAATGCAGTGATTTGAGTGTTGGGCTATGACTCTGAAGATCAGGGTTCTATTACCCACTTGGCTGTGAAAACCCACTTGAGTTACACACTTGAGTTACACACTTTCAACCCCAGAAAATCCTGTGATAGGTTCCCCTTAGATTTGTCATATGTCAGAAACAACTGGAAGGCGCACACAACAACAACAACAACAACCTAATACAAATAAAAGGTTAATTCTGGGGAGGTCATTGTCTGAAATAATTAGGTAGGCTCCCCTGTCCGGTTCCAGCTTTGTATGGATATGGAATAGAACAGGGGTCGGCAACCTATGGCCCGTGCGCCGGGTGCAGTCCGCGGAGGCCTTGGGACCAACCCGCAGCCAGTCCAGCTGCCATGGCCAGTTCTGCCGCCGCGGCCCCCGCCCTGCACATGTCGGCATGCCGCGCGCCAGATGCAAGCCAGATGCAAGCAAAAGCAAATGAAATTTATGCGAGCGTGACACGGGCACCATTTTGGAAGGCCCCACGGCAGATGTGCAGCCGCCAATGGGACCTGCACCGATTCCCTGGGCCTGGACCTTCCAAAATGGCAGCCCCGTCACGTGCGCATGCATGCGTAATGCGGGCACCAATTAGGAAGGGCCACGGTGGCTGCACAGCCGCCACTAGGCCCTGCGTCGCTTCCCTGAGCTTTTCCAAGGCTCGCCCGCAGCGGCCACAGGGGGGCCTTGGAAAGGCCCAGGGAAGCCCCCCCATGTGGGGGGGGCTTCCAAAATGGCAGCCACGTCACACGCGCATGTGCGCATGACGTGGGTACCATTTTGGAAGGGGCCCCGGTGGCTACGCAGCCACCATTGAGCCCTGTGCCGCTTCTCTGGGCCTTTCCAAGG